GTGAAAAATCTCTCCCGAGCCATAGGTGCGCATCGAAGCTTCGAAAACCATACCAAAACCGGTAGGTTGAAGGCGTATTTTATGAACTCAGATAACGGTGATTAGTGATTAATGGAACCAGAGTACAGGTCAGAGGCAGACAGTTACAGAGTGGGCATGTGCCGACGACCGTCTCTTGGTAGTTTATGTGATAGGGCGCTTAAGGCGAATTGCAGAGGTCAGAATTTCAACTCCCCCTCAGGAGGAAAGTGGCATGTCCATTAGAGTTCATATTTTCCGCCAAAAGAATTTCTACTCAAGTAATGCATAATATAATATATAATATTCGACCCAACAAGTCTGGTTCCGAAGACTTGTTCAATAAAAGTCGAATTCAATCGCCATTTCCTATTGGGGCAATTGACAGATGGCGTGTTCTCTAATTCAGAACACAGGGAGTTCTAACAAAGTAGAATCTAGGCTGTGATATATTGCCAAAAACGAAAACTACCCATTCCTAACACGTGTTGCGGGTCCGAGTCACTCCGACTTAAGCAACTGATATGACATCCGAATCTCAGAAGGTAAGTCGTTTAATACACCGCCGAGCACAAACAATAGGACTGCCGTGCGGCGTAGAGTAGATGGTGCATTCAACTTGGCTCTTAGGAAACCTGACTGCATGCATTATGAATCCAACTGAAACTGACCTTACTTTGCGATCTATCACAAAACACAGGCCTGAATTCGTTTTGCCTGTTCGATAAGCACTTGTAATCCAAACACAAACCTGGTGTATCTATCATTTTCCCTTCACTGGGATAAAAAGCATCGCAAAAAATGTTTGCAATCCCACTTAACAGTCAAGGCTAGAATTGGGTTTGCCGGTCAAAACCGAATGGACCCCAAACTAGGTGCCAAATGCGTCACCCAGATTAGGAAACGGAATCAGCGCAAGACGGAGGTTATGCGCTACGAGGAGTGAAGTACCAACAGGCATACCGGATACCGGATTGACAGAACGTACGCAGGTATAAGTTGATTCGACAGACGATCCAATCCGCGGTTGAGTTCATAGGCCTCACGGTTGACCTTCAAAAGATGCAGCGGCAAGTCGCAGACTTCAGCCGGCACATCTGTGGCAGCGACGACAACCGGTTCCCGGCCAGCCGCCAGTCGACAGGCGTCCAAAACCCAAACAGGGTCAAGGAGGGGAACGCGACCCAGGGTG